GACCGAGCGTCAGAGGAGTGGGGAGGGGAGTGGGGAAGGGCTTGAGATGGGCTGGGAGCGGGGAGGTACTGTAAGCCTGGGGGAAGAGCGGCAGAAACACAGGAAGGGGTGGGGGAGGTGGGGCAGGAGAGACAGGTAGGTGGCCACTTTGCAAAGGAGTGAGAGGAAAGATAGAAAGAAGGGAAGAGAATCCAGAAAGCGAGCAACAGGAAAGGAGGAGAAATTGTGAGACGGGCAGGATAAAATAGAGCGGGAGGATTAAAGACCTAAAGGTAAGACCTAAAACTGCAGCTCCTAGAAGAAAACACAGGGGGAAAGCGTCATGACATTAGACTTGGCAATGATTTCTTGGGTATGACACCAAAAGCACAGGCAACAAAAGCAAAAATAGACAAATGGGACCGCATCAAACTTACAAACTTGTGTGAATTAAAGGACACAATCAACAGTAAAAAGGCAATGGGGGAAAATATTTGCAAATCATATAGCTGATAAGGGGTTAATAGCCAGAATATTATAAAGGACTCCTACAACTCAACAAAAAAAAATCAAATAACTTGATTTAAAAAATGGGCACAGGACTTGAAGACATTTCTCCAAAGATGATATACAAATAATCAACAAACATATGAAAACATGTCCAACATCACTAATCATCAGAGAACTGTAAATCAAAATCACAATGTGATATGGTCTCAAACCCATTAGGATGGTTACTATAAAAGAAAGAAAGAAAAAACAAACAAACAAACAAACCCATAAAATAGCAAGTGTTGGCGAGGGTGGGAGGAAATTGGGACACTTGTGCTCTGTTAGTGGGATTGTAAAATGGTGCAACTGCTAATGGAAACAGTATGGAGGTTCCTCTAAAATTTAAAAGTAGAATTACTATATGATTTAGCAATCCCACTTCTGTGTATATGTCCCAGAGAACTGAAGTCAGGATCCTGAAGAGATGTCTATGATCCCATGTTCACTGCAGCATTATTCACAATAGCCAAGATATGGAAACAACCCAAATGTCCATCAACAGATGCATGGATAAAGAAAATGTGGCACATATGTATAATGGAATATTATCCAGCCTTTAAAAGAAAGAAAATCCTGTCATATGCTATAACATGGATGAATCTTGAGGACATCCTAAGTGAAATAAGCCAGTCACAAAAGCACACATGTTGTATGATTCCACTTATATGATGTACCTAAGTAGTCAACTTCGTAGAAGCAGAAAGTAGAACGGTGGTTACCAGGGGCTGCAGAGAGAGGGGGAAGGGGAAGTGTTGTTTGGAGGGGGTAGAGTTTCAGATTTACAATGAAACAGTTCTGGAGAGCTGTTTTGCAACAATATGAATATACTTAATATTATTGAACGGTATGCTTAAAATGGTAGATTTTATGTTATATGTTTTTTATCACAATGAAAATTGTTTTTAATAATTTTTTAAAAGGTGGGGGTAGGGGGAGGAATTGAGCAAGACTGGAGCCACAGCTCCAAGAGAGATTGGTTGTGGCTCTAAACCTTTCCCAGTAGTTCGGGGGGAACTGCAAGCCTTAGCCCTACAATCCCCTTCCTCCCAGGGCCCCTCTGCACTCTTGCTGCTTCTGTATGTGCTGAGGGGAAGGAGGGATAAACACGCAGATTGCCCTTTGTAGAGTGGACTGGGACATATGGAGCTCGGCACAGCTGCCCGAGCTCAGTCCCTCCCAGCCCCCAAACTCTACAACAAGACCATTGTGGACACCAGATCCCACCTCCCTGACCACTAGAGTCAGGGGAGGTCTGTCCACTGGCCATGATCCCCCAGCTCAGGACAGCTCCTTCATCTAGCTCTGTCCTCAACACCCTCAACCCTTGCCATTCCCTGGCCCTTTTGGCAACTCTGCAAGGAAGATTGGGAAAAAGGAACATAATCAACTTTCCACTCCGCATCCTCCCACAGCCCAAGGCTGGTTAAGAGGTGGCCTGCAGAGGAGGATGTGGACCGCTTTGGTAGGGGAGGCACCATTCTGGGGCTTGGCTAAGGTTTGCTTGTCCCTGGGACCAGAAGAGGTCAGAAAGAGGCAGCAGGAACATGGCCCAGGAAAGGTTGGGGAAAGGGCTTTGCTTCTGGGGAATGTTGAGTGGGAACAGTGGACCACTCACTGTGAGCTCAGCCAGACTTAACAGAAGCACAGAGGCTCCTTCCCAGTCACCACCTCCCCTTTCTTGCCAGCCCTGGTTCTTCTGCCTTAAGACACCTTCACAAAGATCTGGGCTCCCCAGCCTTGCCCCTCCCCACCGTGCAGAAAACAGGCTCAGTTGAGTAGTCAGCTAACAGTAAGCTCTGGGGGTTGGGGGTGCAGGATCACCCACATCTGACGGCATGTACATACCCAGCCATAACACAAAACGGAAGGTAGTTGGTGCTGAAATTTAGAACACGCTCCATATTCCAAAGGAACAAGAAGGGAGGGATGGCAGTAGTGTGGGAAGCCCCGAACCCAGCACCTCTCAGTACCTGTTTAGTGCCCCAACTCCACACCCCCATGCTTCAGGAGTTCAGCTGTGGGGTTCTCAGCACATCTATCACAGTCCAATTCTCCCTCTGCCTGGTCCCCATGTTCCTTCATCCCTCATCACTTTGCCCTCCCTTCACCCAGGTGCTCCCAATCTGACCTCAGTCCCATTTCTACTCTGCCCCACTGTCTTTCCCACAGCTCCAGTCCTGGCTGCAGCTTCTATTTACCCATCAAGTCAGTCCTCACCCCAAAATCCACTTCTGGTCTCAAAGTTCCAGGCTCCAAGGATCAGGGAGAGCAGCAATTCCAAGCATCCAAGGTAGGACTTCCTGCCTCACTTCTGCCATCCCCAGACCGACGGAGACTAGACAGGCACGAAGAGTCAAAGGGGAGAAGTGGGAAAGAGGGAGGTGCGGGGACGGAGAGACACAGCACATGAGAGGACTAGAAGGAGGCTCTGGGAGGGGACTTGAGCCAGAGAGTGGGAGGGACACGCCCACCCACCCCTCCCCAGTCCGTGGTTCCCCCTTTACCTAGGAGGACCCTGTGAAGGGATCCAAGCTGGCAGGACAGGGGGTCAGCGTTGACAGCCCCAGTCTCCTCTGGCTGCTCAGAGCTCATCCGTCTGCAAAGTTAGTGACCAGCTTTCTAGACCTCTTCGGGGCAGCATGGCGTGGCTGGACAGGCTCCAGGGCAGATGAGAAGGGTACACATGGTGGGGATACAGGGCCCAGGTCGACAGGGTGGGTTTAGCCAGGTACTGGGGCCACACTCACACATGCACACAGACACACTCACAGACACATACACACCTGAGCTGGCCCAGCCCTATGTATATATATGGAGATACACACACACCCCCAGCTCTCCATTGGCTGGCCTAGCCCCCCCTCCCCCGCTCATCAATATTAAACAGCCAGGCCAGGCAGCCATTGGCAGAGGGATCTGGGAACCCCTCCGGGAGCTGGGGGCGGGGGCTGGCCCTGAGGGGGGCGGGGAGTGGGGGAGCAGGGACATCTGTTCTCCATGCATATTTCATAAGCAAGAAATGGAGAGCTGGGGAAGGGGTGGGGCTGGGGCGAGAGCCAGGGCAGGATCACAGATGAACCCCCTCAGTCTCCCACACCAGAGGCGGCAGGGACAGAGGCCCCCAGCAAGCCAGGTTTAAGTGCCATGGTCCCATTCTGAGTCCCAGCTGGACTTTGACAGCCCCTTCCCATGTCTCCTTTTCCCTGGGAAAAAGGCTCTCCAAGGTACTAACAAGGAAATCTAGAAAAGGGCAGTGGACAGCACTAAAACGCAGGAGAGGGCCCTAGAGTCCTTGCCCCCACCAAGCGCTCATTCTTGGTAAAGCTAGTTCCCATCAGCCCCCTTGCCGGGCTGCCTGTGGCTACTGTTCAGGCCTCTGCCCTCATCACCTTGGCCCTCAGTCACCCCACACCTTCTTATCCCAGCCCCCACCTCCCACTTATCCCATCACTAGGGGAAGATCAGAGTCAGATTCCTGACGGAGATTCCACAAGGAGTTTTTCTAGGCTGGCCAGTCCAACCTGACCCACTGGGAATTGGGAGCTCTTAGGAGGAAAGAGGTAAGGGCCAAAAGGAGTAGAATGCAGGAGTGCCGAGAGAGAAGGAACCAGGGTTGAAGGACACTGAGGGCGGAGGACAGGGCACCCAGGCAGGCTTCGAGTATGCTGGAGCATCAAATGAGCAATAAGAAAACTAGCTACAAAATCATATGCAAATGGGCATTGATTAAGTTCACATCAATAGCTCAGCTGCCTCCAGCTTGTGTGTGCATGTGCGTGCGTGTCTGTGTGTGTGTGTGGGGGGTGTGTGATGCAGAGTGGCAGGAGCATTGAGGAAGGGAAACAGGCAATGGGCTACATTTCAGTATCTGAAGTTCTCTTCCCCACTCAGCTGTTGAATGTCTTCATTGAACCTTTGTGAGTTTCCAAAATGAGCTGTGGCTGGGAGGACTCCAGAGACAACGTGCTATAGTGAAGAACACTCTGTTGGCTGTGTGACCTTGCACGAGTAACTTAACCTCCTGAGCCTCAACTTTCCTTTTCTGTAAAATGGGATTAACTGTAGCTCTGCTTAGGTTGCCATGGAGATTAAGTGAGCTAATGCAGGTGATGGGCCCAGACCTTAGTAGGAGCACACCACACCGTCAGGCTGCTGGAAGCATTTGCCATTTCCCTGTTGCTGATCAATCTTTTCTGGACTTTCTCCAGGGTAAGGCATTCCCTAAGGAGAGTCCTATAATTCTTCCCCAAGCTTCCCCACTCCTCCCCACCCCTAGGTCTGGGAGGTGCCAACTCCCACCTGGGCAGGCCCAGACAGGTGCCCAGGCGCCAGCAGATGGGCTGAGCTGGAGGGGAAAGGAGGCT